ATATTTAAGAAAAAATTTTTTTTTTAAAAGAAAAATGAAAATTTTTGATAGAAAAAGTACTATCGCATATATCGAATAAATTCAATATTTACCCATTCGAATATCTAATACATTGTTCGTAACAATTCAAATTATTCGATAGTTCCTATCACTTTGTTATTTTCCAAATATATAAAATTAGCTATAATATAACTTTTGAAAGTTTCCGAATTTTACGCTGATCACGAATATATTATATACATGTCCCTACGACAGATGACTCTTGCAAGGGGTTACAAATTTCATACTAAAGTTAATGCACCTTCACGAAGGTACAGGGTATGAAAACACTATGTCAAGTAAAAGCTTAACAAATCGAATAAATTTAGACAAAAGACTGTTTGAGTACTTACTGATTAGCTTTGGAGAACGAACAAATGTACTTCTTGATTTACTCAATTCTTTTGTTGCTATAATAAGCTAATCATTTTTAAATAGGATTAGCTTATTAGCCTTTTTGCTTTATAAAAATAGGAAAACTTGTAGCCGCATTATCGAAATTTGTCTAAGTTTTGAAGACGATAATTTAGAAAGAGCATAGCGTTTAACTTAATGAAAGGGAAATGAAATGGAGGCATTTACGTCTTTCATTTTAGAAAAAAGTCTACATTATTACCGGGTAATTACAGGGTAATAATGCATAACTCAGAGTAATGAAGCTTAAAAAATTTTGTTTTTTTTTTCGAAAATACTTTGTTTTAGTTGTTTTTACCGACCGCATTGTATAGAATGAGGTAGGTTATTTTATGGCATCAAATTTTCGATATCGAGTTTTCGGCGGGAACGCATTTCTCCGTAGTAGGGAAGCGTAAATAAAACTTTCAGAGAGATGTCGGTCTGTCGGTCTGCGTGTGCAATCGTGTATCTCAAGTTCGACTTAACCGATCTTGATGCAATTTAATACGTGGGTTTATTTTAGCTATGGCACGGATTACATATTTGCGGATATAAAGCAAAATAATCAACCAATTTAAAAAAAAATGCCATTTTTCAACTACTTATTGCAGTGACACCATAAACAATTTTTAAATTTTGCAAGCGCAAAAAATAGTGGCTGACTTCTTCAATCGTGGCATTTTGTACTTGAACTTTAAAAAACAAAATGGCACTTAAAATTTACCGTTATCCAAAATTTGTTTTTAATTTTTTATACCATTTTTCTTTTACCATGGATTGTAGAAGTCTAAAATATTAGCAGCTTTTATATATTAAGAAATAGTTAATTTCGTTAGAAGAAATTTTTGTCCTATCTCCAGCTCCCTTCGAGTTATTGCCGCTTGCTATTTGTAAAATTTGAATTTTTGGCACCTTATATTTCCGAAACTGCAAGCTTTTCCGCAAGAAATACTAAAGGAAGGAGCACTTTAAGAACACAATAAAGCCAAATTATTACTAGTTGCCTCTTTTTTTGCTCCGACGATTGTCAAAGTCGTACCAGGAGCGTATTTATTTTATTTGTAAGGAGGATAAGTTGAGAATTTTTTTTAAAGTAAAAACGAAACTCATATTTTTTTTCTCTTTGAATAAATTTATTATAATAACTAAAAGTATTTTAATAAAATCAATAATATCACAATATTTTATTACACTCGAAAATTAAAATATTTTGTTAAAAAATTAACATATTTTGTTAAAAAATTTCTTATATTATCAGTTTGGTTTTACAATTTTACCAAAAAACTTTAAGCAATATTAAGAAGAATTAATATAAATACATATATATTTTAATGACTCTAAAACAGTATAATTTTTAACAAATTTTAATTAGCATGATGGTTATTATTTACTGAAGTAGATGGCATGTTGTCATATTCTTCCTTATTCATTAGTCGAGCTTTGCATACTAATTAAATTTAAACAATTTATTTTTTAAATAATTCTCGCTAATATTTTATTTTACTTACTGAATTCAACGGCATCCGGACGTTTTCACAAATTTTTTTAATGACCAAATCTTCCCTCTATAAAGAGAAATATATTTCTGTTCATCATTTCTAGGAAAACTGTGACTATACATGTGAAACTGTGACTAACAATTTAAAATATTTATGCTATATTTTATTAAACACAAACTCATTTTGCTTAAAAACAAAATCCGACCCTGGTGGCCCTTTACGTAGTGCTACTTTCTCTCATATTAAATTTCACGAACAGAGAAGTACTACAGAGTGGTATTACAGAATGCTACTTTCGCATACTTTTCATTCACTTACCATTTTGTTATTGAATCTTATTGCGAAAGTCTAAGATTTTTAAAAAATAATAAAATACTAAACAATGTACTATGTGTTACATTTATTTTGCTTTATTAAATTTAAAAAAACTTGCATTTAAAATTTACTGCGATTAACTAAATTTTTGTAATTAATATAGTTATAATTTATTATTATATGTAGGTAAAATTAAAATACAAAACCATTCGGTTTTTTATTTAACAATTTGCTTCGCTTCTCGGTTTTCGACTTTGTTCCTTTCCAGTTTTATTTTTATGGGACTGAACTTTTCATCTAAAGGTTTACAAACTTCGGTTATAATAAGTGAAATGGTTTGCTGAGCAAGGACAATATTTGAATCTTAATCTGCTTTTGCTATCCATGCTTGTTTAAAAGATTAACAATAATCTCCTCTTTGATATTATACCATACATTGAAATGTGTGACTATTTTTGAATAGTTCAAATGTTTAGTTTGGAAAAACTGTCAGAAATGTCAAGAACAAAAAATTTTAGAAAATGTTTAGATTTTGTTACATAGTTACAAACGATAGTAGGCTACCTGGCAAAATAATGTCATCCGAAGAAATTTTAATTTGAAACTAAAACAAATGTTTTGTTTGCAAAATTAAAAACTTAATAAAGTTACAAATTATGAATTAATCAAAGCACTGTTGAATAAATATTTCTTGTGATTATTGAAATGGATAGTATTCACATGTATATGGTGTAATAAAACTATTTGTTTTTCCAAATGGGAATAACAATTTAGATCTATTCACCTTTTTGATTTTTAACAAATTTTTTTCTTTTTTTTCACTTGTTATATTTTTTTATAAGTTTTTATGAAATAATATTTTTTTTTTCACTTATCATTAACTACTCGTATTTTATGATTTTTTATTTACAAACTGCACTGATTTTATAAATAAAATGACAAATGGTAAATTCTTAAACGTCAAATTTTACAAAATCTGAGTTGTCTCAGTTTACGAATACTCTACTGTGTTTTTACTTTCAGTCAAAGTTTAAATTCTTAAACATTTAAAAAAAGTCAATTAAGCCTCAAAATTGTAGATTTTTTTTTTACATGCAGACAGTCTGACGTAGTAATTCAGTAAATAAATTTGATGTATCGAGTGACTATCATTACGTTAAAAATAATATGAAAAATATTTTTTTGTTAATTTTTAATATGTAAGTATAAAATTATTTTAAATCTAAAAAAATTTTTTTTTTTGTTTTGACGTTTACGGGTGATCAAAATTCAAAGTCATTTACGGTTTTATACGTCAGACAGTTTGCAGACTGAAAACAAAATTTTGACGTTAAAGAATTTGCGGAAAATCTTCTTTGATTACTTTTTATACAAGCGCGATCTACAACATTTGGCATTCAATGTTAATTATAGTTTGAGAATGCTTGGAGCAAAGAGAGAGACTTACCTGAAGTTTTTGGCTTCACTATGTATTTTTCTTCAAGATATGATTTTTTAGGGAGTGTAAGCGAGATACAAACAAAGATGCTCCTTCCTTTATTATTTCTAATACGATAACTTCAGTGCCTTTAAAAAATATAATTATTTTTCATATAATATTTAAATTCCAGCATTTAGTTAAGGTCTCTTAAATTTTTTTTGTTTTATTTCAAAGATTGCATGCATTACTTATCCTAAATGTATGCAATCTTTGAAAAATATTCATATATCAATGAAACTACTCCTTATAAAGTAGTAGATAGATAGATTGTTTTTAAAAGCAGTATTTTCACTTATTGAAGGGAAAAGTGCAATATTATAAACCGTTGGTGTGGCCGAACTTTATTAAGGTCAAGGATCCGTTCGACAGCTTATTTTTTTTTATATTTTCTTATAATATAAAAAAAGGAATCTTTTAATAACAACTCAGAATTTCTCATAACATAATAAAAATCGAATCTTTTTTTTAAAGTATTTAATAAACTCATACTTTCTTTTAAAACTTATTTTCTATGCATTTATATAAATATATACATACACATATATATATATATATATATATATATATATATATATATATATAATTTTTTTGCTTTTTTTAAATTATATTCAAATAACTTAATAAAATAAAAACAATACAAAAATAAAAAAAAATATTGAATATAAAAAAAATACATTATTTACACTGACATTATCCAACATATCTTGACATGGAACAAGAAATGTACATACATGTATACATATATATTGCATGTATAATATATATATATATATATATATATATATATATAAAGTTTAAATATATATATAGTATCGATATTTATATTCATGTAAATTAAATAAAATGTTGAGGTCGTAATATCTCTATAATATTGTTCTAATTGTAGTTTGTTAATTAGTTATAATAATTATATTTAAAATAATGTATAAGAATAATATAACAGTGAATTTATTATTTATAATAATTAATTACTTAAAAAATAATGATTTACATATTAATTACATAGATATACAATAAAAAATTTTGATAAATGTATATATAAATGTATAAAATTCTAAGTGACAGGGTAATATACAAAAAAGGAAATATGTATATAAAATAATTGATCAATATTTTTCTTTTACGTAACACATGCTAAGTTTTTAATATATTAAAATAAATGTTTTTTTCTTTATTTTAATATTTTGTATAACAATTCATTTCGTTTTGTATTTTAATTTAAAATAGAAAGAAATTAACTTTTCAGATTATAAAAGAGTTTGTGTGCAAAACTAAAAGACAATCAATCAATTTAATTACAAAAATTCGTGATACATTATTATAAAAGTTTTCATATGATATGAAAATTTAATAACTTTAAAATTTACAATTTTTTCTAGAAATATGTAAAAGCAATGTATATGTATATAAATATTTATGTATATACAAATACAAAATGTATAATGAAACTTATATAATTTACTTTTTTCTTATAACATTACTATACATACATATAAATATGTTTATATGTGGTTCTATATTTCAAATTTCCTAGTTGTTTTTTCTAAATACATAACTTCTCTTTCACTTAATTTATATTAAATTAATTTATTCATTTTTATACACGGGTTTAAGTTTAAATACTTTATATATTTTATATACATAATGTACGCAAAAATGTTAATAATATACTTTACATAAAATGATGTAACTTGTAATAATAAATTGTAACTTTATATATATGTAAACATCTCTATAAAAATAATTGTATACATATATGTATACGTGTATTTTACATTGTTTTATAGTACATAGGGAATTTATTTTTATATATGTATACCAAATATAAAAAAAACATATATTTTATTTTATGTTTGGCTCGGCCTCAACTTTGATAATAACTGTTTCAGTTATTTTGTTCGACTTAAATTACTTTTACGTTTTCCATATAATATGTATATAGTTTATATCCATGCATACATATATGCACATTATATTATTATTAAACACACAGCAGTACGTTATTCAAATATCACCGAAACTGATTACCGCTTTGATGATAAACTATATGGTATTTTATTCGGTATGAATATACGAAATCCAATGATAAAATTTAATTTGATTACAATTTATCGTTCGCACTGAATTATTATGGAAACTGTGCATTTTTATAAGTATGTTTGTTTATTTGCCGTACTCGGAATAAATTCTTCATTTATATTTTTTGCGCTTAAAAGATCGATTGTTTGAATTTTTAGCAAAGTTCTATCTAATAGTTTTTCACTTTTTCTTTTTGATTAAAATAATTTTGCTTTACCTATGAATTTTTTTTTTAATTTAAAAAATTTATTTAATTTTTAAACAAAAACAAATTTTAAAATTCCTAATAAACAAATTCAACATTGCAATCTATTACGCAAAATAAAATAAATGAATTTTAACAAAAATATCAAGTACTTTTTTACAGAAATTTACATTTTCATTGCATTTTACCGACATCCACAACCAACAACTGTCATATCCTGATAATTTTTTAGTACAACTTGGTTTTGATCATTCAAATATAACATTGATATTGCTGATAGTTGTGTTGGAATGCAACATGCTTTTGGTACTTTTGCTGGGGTTATGTTATTCACCAAAGTTTGAACGACTGCATGATTTGTTGAATTTAAATGATCTGTTAGCGGAAATGGACAATCACCTTGACAATAATACGCATCATAACCTGGCGGTGCTACAATCCAGTCACTCCATCCAACATCATTGAAATCTACATAGAGTGGACGGCGTTGACATATTGTATTTTTTCTTCTATGATGTCCATTTCGAGGATGATGTGCACGTTTTGATCTTTGACTAACATCACGTACTAATCTTGTTTTATGACGTCCATCATCAGTATATGTAAATAATAATGGTTGTTTTGGTAACCATTCTTTATCAGTTTCATCTAAACTTCTGCGTAATCGAACATGATTATGTTTCGCAGGTTTTAGTTTACGTGCTGTTTTAACTTCAATTAACAAACCATTATTTTCATTGGGTGACGTTAACCATCTATTAACTGCTGATTGAACATCTAATGTTAAGGTTTCGGAACTGTTTAAATAAATTGTTTTTGTGTCGAGTAATAAATAACTTGTGTTATCTTGGTCATTGATATTTTTATAACTGTTATTTTCATTAACATTTTTAATATTGTTGCCGCAAATTTTTAATATATCATATACTGATACTCGAAATCGTTGTCGTTGTTGTAGTGCATTCGGATTATCGAAATTGATTTTATCACGAGTTATTTGCAATTCAGCTGCTCTCAATTTTTCTTCAGTAGGTATACTTTTTACGTTAAAAAATAGCCTGAACTTATGATGGTGCGGAAATTTATCGTCGAAATCAGTACCTACATAAAGAAAAATAAAAACCAATAAGTAAAAATTGTCTATATTTATTAAAGTTTTCTTATGTTTAATTTTTTGGAAAATTAGAAATAAATTTTCACTTCTTTACAGAAGCCGTTCTATCTCAAAGTCGTTTGAATTTTATGGCTTAAGAAGATATTAATATTCAAATAATGGGTTGAGATTAACTTTCCTGATACAAAACACACAAAGTTTAAGAAATGCCTCAGAAACTAAAAAAATCGTTCCTAAAAAAATTTGTTTGTATATATGAAATTAATAATTTTGCTTAAAAAGGAAAAGAAATTTACGTTTTTTTTAAACAAAAGAAGTTATAATAGCAAGTAGCAACAGTAAAAAGAATAATAGTGAAGAAGTGAATATACACCAAGTAGATTTTTATGATTCCGTGACATTTTCGGGCACACTTTTTTAGAAGTATATTTTACACATTTCAGTCGATTTTCTGCGTTCATATTAATCATTTTGTAACATTGAAAACAAATTTAAGATTCAATTGCAAAGTGTGTATATTTTTCTTTTTCTTTATCTGTAAATATATAATATTTGTTGTTTTTTTTAAAATGATCATTGTCACAAAATACTGCAATAAAAAATTCTTTTCAATTATGCAAGGAACATAAATGGACACGATATGTGAGTGTAAAAAATTGTATTAGTAAATTTGTATGTACACTATCGAAACTATCACCAATTGGCTGCAATCGCACCAGATTCCACAAGTGTGTGGTGTTGGTGCGCTTTTCGATCTTAAAATCTTAAACCATATTTTTCATAATGATAATCATAATGATAACCGCATACCGAATGTCACGTCCAGTAAGGTTTAGCAAACTTAAAAGAAAATCCTATATTTTTCATAATTGCATTAAATAGTTATCGTGTAAATATTTAACACCGAAAAAATAAATAGGTACGTGCCAACTCTTATCTGTTTTCAGAATCAGCTCTGAATCAAAATAATATTATAATTTTATATAAAAAATAACCGAATACTCACTTTCATGTGTAAAACTTCTAACTGTGTTTGCTGCATGTGTATGTAATCCAGGCTTTGGAATCTTTGCTGAATCAAATTCATTGCCCATAAGTTGTGCGTAAAGTCTTTTCATAGCTTCTGGTATAATAATCTTGGATCTATCAATTTTAGGTGGTTTTTTAAGACCGAATAATGACAGTAAACTTGTTTCGATTTGGACTAGAGTTTCTGGATCTGGTTTTAACTTGACATTTTCATTTTTATCTAAATTATTTATATTATGATTTTTATTATTATCAATTATTTCACTTTTAACAACGTTATTTATTTTCATTTCATGGTTCTCATAACTACTGTCATCATCTTTGATAATGTTCTTTTTTGAGTCTTCGATACTTCCATTCTCATATTTTATATTTATAGCATTATCATTCATATAATTATTATTATTTTCATTTTCTTTATTATTGTAATTTATATTATTAGAAATTTTTTTGTTATTGCTATTCTCACTATTATACTTATTGCTATCGCTTTTTTTATTACTAATTATTTTATTATATTTTTTATTAATAAAATTATTATTAACATTTGCATAACTACTATTGCTATTATTTGTAATAGTTTCGTTAACGTTATAATTGTTTTGGAGTTTGTTATTATTTTTCTGAGTAACTACATTTTTGCTGTCTATTAATAGTTTTTCTAACTTATTATTTATTATAGAACTAAAATTCTTATTACTTTTTTTATTAAAATTATTCTTTACGTTTAAATTTAACTTATCTTCTTTATCTAAATGATTACTATCATTGTTAGATATAGTATTGTTGCAGTTGTAATTATTATAATTCTTATTAAAAATCACTGGAGGTGATGTGTTGCTTTCTTCACTGTTTTCTATTTTATAATTTTTTATATTTTTAATATTACTTTTATTGTACAGTTTTATATGGTTGCCTTCTGTGCTAACGACTTGTGTGATGGGTTTAAAAGTCGTCAGCACTACAAGAATTAATGTCCACGCACGCATTTTCGTTAACAATTCTGAAATAATAAGAAAATGAAAAAAAAATTTAAAATATAGATTTTATTTTACATTTAATTTGAAAAATAAATGATTTAATAAAGACAAAATATATAAACTTAGTTCCAAGATAAATTATGAAATTCAGCTTAATAATAAACATAATATGCACATACATATGTGCACAAAATCTGACAATCTGTAAAAATTTAAAATTTTTTTTATTGTTTTAACACTTTTACGAAAAGTACCTGAAAGTGATATAATAAATAAACAAGTGCATCGTTCATTGTCGCGTACCTATACCTATAAAATTTTTGCAAACTATATTTTATACACCTGGTATTAATTATAATAATGTATTGAGGTAAAAAAAATGCTAAACTTCCATATAATATTTATCATTTTGTGTTTTTATTTGGGAATGTAAAGGTGCGTAATTAGGGTGCATATGCAATGATATATTTATATATGTATTTAACATATACAATGACATGCATAAGCCATTAAAAGAATATACATAAAACGTCTTTATACTAATCTCTACTTCTGAGAAAAAATAACATTAATGCAAGGTGATTGCAAGAAAAAACGAAATTACGAGAAGTGTTTGAGAAATGTTAATAATTTTGCTAAAATTTGCATATAACGAACAACCATTCTTTGAGATTCTGAGATATTTAGAAAGATACTTATAATTTTATCATATATACTTTAGCAAAAAAATTATTAATTTTTGATTTTATTGAATTTTATTTTACTTGAATTTCTTCTATTTTTCTGAAATTTAAAATCGCTATTCAATTTAATAATCGCTATTAATTTGGAAAATTTCGATTACAAGTAAGTGATGGCACTTTACTCAATGTGCATACACCCAATACGATTAAATTTTGAACAAAATTTTTTTTATAATTCAAATTTCAAAGAGTTCAATTTAAAATTTCCTCAATCATCAATTAGTATCTGAAAATAGTTTTTGTGTTCCTCAATGAACAAGAAGTACTGTAGCGACAAATAATAATCCTTTTTCAAAAATAAAGAGCAGATATTGCAGAAATGTACATTTAGTGAGAGAACAGGTACATTTTAAAAGACCAATTGTAAACATGACATTTAATATATGTATCTTCATATAACGCTTTCTTTTAGTTTTAAATGTTTCAAGTTTAATATGCTATAATATAGATTTATAAGTTAAATAATTTGAATGTTATTATGGACTATTTTATACACGCTTATATACTTAATGCGTAAAATATAAATACCTTTTTTAGAATATTGATTAAAATGCAAATTAATCTTTTATTTTGTGACATATGAGTCGAAAATCTTTTTTAGTAAATTACTTATAGGTATTAAATAAGCACAGAAATATTAACTTTTTTTTATATTCAGCTCCAATCATTAAACATTTACATTGTACAAACAATCATCAAATTTAAACTACTTTAATTCGATAGTTCATTTAGCAAACTCACCTTTCAGTCTTTTAAAATTTGTAGGTCAAATCCAATAAAATAAAAGGAAAAATAATATTTTTTCCTTTCAAATCTAATAATAAAAAACGAAGCGCGACGAAGAATTTCAATAAATCACTTTATTAACAAATTTTATTTAATTTTATGTATTGATACTATAATTTTTTAGTTTAAATAAAAAAAAATTAAATTTTAGACACAATTTATATTGTGTAATATTGTGTAAGTTTTAATATATATTAAAGTCGATAACTACCAAACTCCTTAATCAATTAGATATTTTCACTTTTCTTTTCCGACGAAAGTGATATATGAAATATATAAAAAATTTAATAACTAACTTTCGTCTTAAGATTATCACTGAAATGCCAAACAGCATTTATGTAAGTAATTTGGTATTAATTTTAAAACTCACATTATTTTAATAAATATTGCTTTATATTTGCTTTTTATTTTTTACTATTTCATAAATATTTTTAATTTTGATAAATTAAATTAAATTCCTTGAAAATCGCATATTAAAGCGTTTTACCTTGCTTTAATACTTCAAAATTAATTTTTTGTTTTTATTCCCATAATTTAAAAATTTTTTTTCACTTTCGAAGTTAAAATACTATACAGATGTGAGATTACAAGAAATAATTTTTTTCCATTCCAATTTCATAAAACATTTTTTCACCAAAAAACAAAAAAAAAATAAAAAAGATTACAATATCAAAAGAAAATAAATCATAGAATAAACACTTATATTCTCGAGCAATGCTGTAGAACGACTAACGCCTTTCTGTCTACCTGATTCAAAAGTCCAGAAAAGATCATTTTTATTTTACTTTATTTTTCTTGTTCAATTTTAAATATATATGTATGTATATGCCTTTTTTTCTAAATACGCAAAATACATTGTCTCTTTTCTTAAATAACTCTTACTCTACTTTATTTTTCTACCATTATTATATGTACACACCACCACAGTTTAAATATTCACTCAAAAGAGTCTCATAATAGATAAAAACAAAAGAAAAAAAACAAGATAAAGTATACAATAATTACTCAAAATAAAAGTGGTTGGTTGGCTGACTCTACTGCGTTGATTGAAGAAAAAATAATCATTTAAATGGGATGACAAGATAAATTTTTCTTTTACGTGAAAAATTGGTATATAGATTTAGGTAGTAGAGTAAAAAAATGTAGTAAAGCAATATCAAATGAAAAAAAAAAATACTCATTTATAGGAATTAATTAATTTAGTGATCGCACTTGAGTGGAATTAAAATGTTTATGTGTACGATTTTTGCTTTATTGACTTCATATACTATGTGTAGTATAGTATGTATGTATAAGAGATATCAAATCCGTTGTACAATGCGGAATATAATACATAATACCAAAAATATGAATTGTAGAGTTTAGGTATTATTAACGTATGCATGTGTAAAGTTTACGTAATATGCATTGTAAAATGGTAACTTTATTTAAATGTTTATTATGTTCAATAAGTAATTTATGTATCCAATAAGTAATTTTAATATAAAATTAATATAGTAAAACATTGAAATTTGTAGAGTTAATGAATTTTAGAAATCTAATATTATACATTTATATATATATGTATGTATATATGTAGATATTTCAGCATTTTAATTTCTTATATCATTGTTTTTGTTTTTGAATGAAAAAAATTCTCATTTCGTGGTGAATAAAAATTTCACATACAATTAAACATATAATTGCTGTTCTGTGAATGTGATTTAAAAATTCACCACCAATATAGTAAATAAATTAGTATGAAAATTTATTGTATGTTCACACACACTTATGTATGTACATCCGTAATGATTTTATTGGACACTTTAATTTTATTAAATGTTTTTAGCTTAGTAAAATATTTTTGTAGGTTTATTGATTATAAAAACAATTGCTTTGAAATGACGTAAAATTTTGATTTTTATTCAATTTACGCACAGAAATGAAGGAATTTTTTGTAAAGATGAAATCTGAGTGGAGTATGTATGTAATTATTTGTATGTGTGTTTGTATTTAATTTACTCACTTATGGTAAATTGATGTTTAATATTTTATGAGAAAATATTATGTACAAGAAGCTACTTTTAGATGATATTTGATAAAGCTTTAAAGCAATGTGCACACTATTTGTGAATATTATATTTTCAAATTTAGTCACAGTATCCGTGACTTCAATAATGCGCTTACGACATAAACTTTACAAAGTATCACATTCCAAAAAGTTTAGCAAAAGCTCTTGACATTGTACACTTTTCCAAAATGCTTTCTATACGTAGTGGATACGTAAAATAAACGTAAATCGGGTACCGAAAAAATCGAGCACGCTTTTCTTATACATATCACATAAACGTTGCCAGAAATAACCAATTAAATAAACCAGCATATATTTTCAGCAATAGAGTGTTAGTTATTAAGTTTCTTTTTCTAAAATGCAGCATAGAAGTGCCATATTTTTAATGATGTGGTAACGTTTGTTAAAAATTAACATTTACACAGAACTTTAAATTGAAATTTTCAAACAAACGGCAAAATATGTATTAATATTGTAAAAATTGTATTCAAAAATGTATCAAAAGCTTTAGCAGTTTGTTTTACAATGTAAAGGTATTGAAAGGTCTGAGACGGTACTACAACCGTATTAATACCGTACTTAAACTTTTTATAAGGCATTATTGAAGTCACGGTATTTCTTTTTAAATATAATTGTTTTTTGTAGATATAACACAAAATTAAATAAATAACAATATGTAATAAGTAGCTACAATTATTTACAAAATATGGGTTCTATTTTGAATTTTATGTACAATACAACTTTTCTTATCTATGGTTTCATGAAATCAAATACATACTCATATTTTCTAAATGCAAAATGCATTTTATATACATATAAATAATGGATATCAAGATTTCTTAAAAAAATATTTAAAAATAAAGGTTTTAATCAGAATCTACGACATTATTTAAATTACTTTTTTTATGTACCAAATTACTATTAATTTTTGCATACATTTTAAATGAGAAAAGAAAAAAAAATTTAAAGGAGGCATTAACATAATGTTCGATTTTAGGTTAATTGCGTGAGTTCAGAAAAATAATTGTATTTTTTGATAACGTGTTTTTTTTGTATTTTTTGATCCCGGGAGCTTTCTGTATTTGCAGAAATTTGGAAAAGCTTGCGGTTTCGGAAATATAAGGCGCCGAAAATTCAAATATTACAAATTTCATGTGGCGATAATTTAGGAGGGAGTAGTAGAGATAGAAAAAAATTTTCTATTGATATTTAATATATGAATATTAATTATTCACTAGTGTCTAAAAGCTGCCAAAATTTTAAACTCCTACAAGTTATCGTAAAAAGAAGAAAAAAATCTAAAAATTTAATCCAACTTTATTAATACTTAATTTTGTTGTGTTGCGATAAGTGAAGCATATGCTACCTTTCTGCATTTGCGACATTTTAAAAGTGTTTGTGATTTCGTAACAATAAATAGTCAAAAAATGAAATTTTTTGATTATAGAGATGTTAAACTTTTAGAAAGGGGGGAGATAGGTAAAAATTTAAAATAGTGTAGAAGTTTTGTGAACAGACGCACTGAGAGACGGATGTAGTGAAACTAATAAGCATTTTTTTCAATCCTTTTTTGGAAAAGTGCAAAAGATGATTAAATTTGCTAGATTTGAACTTAGACTTTTGTTTAATTTTCAGTTAACTTCTCAAATAATAAATTTTTGTTTATTTAAGTTTTAAAGTTTTATAATAGAATAAAATTTGATTGGTTTAGATTGCCAAAAAAGTTGAAAGATTAATGGTGATTATTTAGTTTTGCGTGAAATACCTGCTTTACTGCTTTTTTTGGTAATAATGGAAATCGGAAGTAAGAGAATTAAATGCCAAATTGCATTACCATAAGTGAAATGATTTATAAATTTCATTTTTGTTCAAACATTGCAGTTTTAAGTTCAATAATATCAATGCGAAAAAAATATAAATAGAGCGACACAATTGGAAATTTCGCGTGTAAATTAATCAACAGTTAATTTAGTTTCTTTCTTCTGGTAATATTTTTTAAAAATATTAAATTTGCGTGTTCATATTGTTAGATTTACTCAAATAAAATGCAATCTACATAATAATTTTATATCACGATTGATTAAATGAAGAATTAAATACTGAAATACTTATCCTTGACATTGAGCCATAAAGTAAAAAACTTACAAAGAAATAAAATTTTTTTATAAACGACTGTCTAACAAATACATTAAGTAACTTTTAATTAAAAGAAAATGAATGCAACATGTCGTAAATCGTACTTTTTATAAAAATTAATTTACTGTTTACATTTTCCAAATGAATTCAAATATAATTTTGATGGAAATTAAAATAGCCTTATGATAATAAGTGCACGATAGCAACTTTGGGCCGCAATGAAGGGATGGAATTTATGCAACCCAACTCAACCATATAACATATATAAGTATGACTTTTCTTATTATATATATTTATAAATTTGATATAACCAAAAATATTTACATAAATGCTTTAAAGACGTCGTTAAGAGAATATTTTACGATAAAATCTGTAAAACTGTACACTGCCTCATGATCTTTTGCAATGTAACGTATCAAGGTATTTTTTGACTTATTTTGCATAATCAAATTTTTTGCGAGATTTTAGGAGCGGTGTAAATATTTATAAAATCATAAATTCAACTTGGCTTGATGACATAAGGAATTGCAGCACTAAAATTGTTTGGTTTGCTTTAAAAATTTTCTTTGACAATTTATGTATCAATACATAGAACATATAAGATTTACTTTCTGTTTCTAGTCATATAAAATGCATGCTCATCTACTAATAAGTTCCATTGGTTTTTGTAAGGTTGCATAAAAATTGTACATCAATTGGTATAAAGTAAAAATTCGTATTTTTACTCAAAATTTAACTCCTTTTCTTCAGTTTTAAGTCAAATATATGCAGATTTTCTTTGTTTTTGATATCAATTATTGAGAAAAATGTGTTATTGAAAATAATTAGGGCCACGTTGTCTTAATCATTTTTACAATATTAGATAACTCCAGCAAGGAGTGACTTCTTTTTACATTTGATATTTATTATTATTTAGTTTGTTAAATTATAATTAATGTTAATATTTTATCATTTAAAATGAAGGAAAATTTTATGGTTTCCATTAAGAAATAACATTTATAT